TTATTAGTGATTATTGAGTGATTATGAAAGAGAAAATTGAATAGTATTTATTTCAATTATTATAATTTGGATTTTTTTAAAAAATTTTTTTGTTTACATATTATGAAGCATCACGTAAACTCATTTGCAACATATATGAATTGATCAACAAGGGGGGTTCGAATTTTTCCAGAATCGATTTCCATATTGGGTAAAATACCTGACTGAAATAAAAGACACCACATTTTATCAACACAAACAAAAATAGTACCTCTGGTTAGTTATTAACACGTTTCTTTAGGGGACCCAAACCAAACCAAACAACAACTCTCATGTTTTGTCACCTTGGACTCTGTCAAAAAATAAATTGTTTTCCCAAAAAAAACAATTGCATAAACAAAATTTGTGCAACACCAAGTGCCAATAATAGTAATTTATTTTGTTTATTATTATGTATATATTTCTTTTTTCTTTTTTTTAATTAATATTAAAAAAATGACAACAGTCACTAATAAAAAAGAATGGTGGTTATCACCACTCATCATCACTCTAGTTAATTATAAACTTTGTTTTTTATTTACTTAGTATTAGTGTAATTGAGGAAGAAGATGATAAAGAAAATGCAAGAGTATTTATTTCAATAAATTAATATTTAGTGTTCAATATTGCAAACATTAATTCAATATAAAAATAATTTTTTTCACACACCATTATTCCCCACAATCATTCTTTTTAGTGGAAGGAAAGAGCAGGAGAGTTGGAGAAAGAAGTTAAGATGTTGAAGCAAAAGTTGAAAGATTTAGGAAACAAACCAGGTAAAGATCACAAAAAATTATTTCCATTCATTCAATTTCATTTATTTATTTATCTTATTTCTTAACTGTTTGATTCACTAAGGCCAACACACAATGAAGCAAACTGGTAGTTATGATGATGAAGGAAGGTCTGAAATAAAACATCGATGACAAAGAAATGCATTGATTAAAGCACCACCATTGTCACTATTCAAACCTGAAGTTTTCATTCTCCAGGTACAACCAAAGGTAAAGATTCAATGTGGTTGTCCATATGGTTCAGAATATTTCACACAACCAATAACACTATATTCCAAAGTCTTCTGTCAATTTCTTAAAGATTGTGATGATAAAACTGCAAATATACCAAAAGTCATAAGAGGAAATGTAATTAATATACAGTGAACCCTCTATAAGTGCACCCCCCTCGGGAACATAGTGCTATTTCTTGTGAGTGTGCATTTATGGA